AAAAAAAGTTTGTATATTGCTGGTGACATAAATTTGAACGCTCTGACTTGAAAGGATTTTTTGATATGCTTTTTAAATATAATATTTTACCAGTTATAAATAAACCAACTAGGGTAACAAAAAGCTCTGAAACTGCAATCGATAATATTTTTATTAATAATTATATGTAAAACGTCATTTGAGACAGGTATTTTTAAAACTGACATTAGTGATCACTTCCCAATATACATTAAAATAAATCTTTTAAATGTCACAACAAAAAGGGCTTCTAAAAAAAAAAACGCAACTTATCAACAATTAATAAGAATAATCTTTCTAATAAACTAAAGCAAAAGTCGTGGAATCAGGTTTTTAAATATGATAATACTGATAAAGCTTTTAATATTTTCCTACAAACAATTCTTGATATATATAACGAAACGTGCCCATATGAATTAAAAATAACTAAAAAAAAACAATACTAAATTCTTGGATAAATAAAACTCTAATAAAATGTTCAAAAAAAACAAAAACTTTACAATAAATTTTTGAAAAACAGAAGTGAAGATAATGAAAAAATATACAAAAATAATATAAACGGTTTTACGAAAATCTTCTCATAAAAGCTAAAAAAAACTATTATAGTGAAGAACTTACAAAAAAAAAATTTGATGTAAAAAAAAACATGGGATGTAATTAATAATATAATGGGAAGAAACAAAATAACTACGGCTTTACTGCCTCAAAGAATAAATATCAATAAAACTGTTATTTATTGTCCTTTAAAAATCTCGAATGAGTTAAACAAATACTTTACAAACATTGGCCCGAACCTTGCTTAAAAAATTATAACCACACCCAACTCATTTCAATTATATCTTAAATCGTTATATGACGTAATACTTCAGGATAGCGACTTTTCTCTTAAAGAATATGAAACAGCCTTTTCTTTTCTAAAAAAAATAAATCACCTGGCTTTCATGACGTTTCTAGTAATATAGTTATTTTTAACAAAAATTACATTTCCAGACCTTTGATCCATATTATAAAACTTTAAATAAATGAAGGTATTTTCCCTGAAGCACTAAAGTTGGCAAAAATGTGCCCAATTGAGCAGCCGTGGCGCAGTGGTATCGCACTTGCTTCAGAAACGTAAGATCCGTGGTTCAAACCCCACCTCGGGTAAGTTTTGCGACATCGGTTGGGAAGGAGGCGTGAACTTCCTATTAAATGCTTTTCTGCGGTGCTCTGTGATAAGACCGCAAGGACTTCTTTGAACACCCAAAAAAAAAAAAAAAAAAATTTACAAAAACAAAGATAAATCAGAAATCTCTAATTATAGACCTGTATTAGTACTTTCTGTATTTTCCAAAATATTTGAACGTGTAATCTATAATAGAATTTATAACCATTTTAATGAAAATAGTTTATTTTACACAAAACAGTTTGGTTTTCAAAAAAAACATTCAACTAAACACGCAATAATTGAAATAGTAGACCAAATTACTAAAGGATTTAAAAACAATAACTTTACTCTAGGATTGTTTATTGGCCTATCAAAAGCATTTGATACGATTGATCACCTCATTCTTTTAGAAAAAATTAAACACTACGGAGTAATAAATAAAATCTATGATTGGTTAAAAAGCTACCTCACTGAAAGAAAACAATATGTTATTAATAAGGAATCAGGTGAACTAAAAATTATGTGTGGAGTTCCACATGGGTCAATTCTTGGTCCCTTGCTGTTCTTGATCTATGTAAACAATTTGCATAATGCTTCACCAAAACTTAACGCGATAATGTTTGCTGACAACACAAATCTTTTCTTATCAAACAGTGACATTAAGCAACTTTACTCTGACATGAATTATGAATTAAGGAATGTCAATGAATGGTTTAAGGCTAATAAACTGTCACTTAATGTAGATAAAACAAAGTATACTCTATTCCATAAAAAATCACAACAGGAAAACCTTCCCTTAAAATTATTAGATTTAATTTAAGATGATAAACTAATTGGAAAAAATGACTCAATACAATTCTTAGGAATTCTTATTGATGAAAATTTATCATGGCTTTCTCTCATAAATTATATCCAATCAAAAATTAGTAAAACAATTGGTTTGATATACCGTATTCGCCCATATGTAACATCAGAAAGTCTGAAACTAGTATATTTTGGTCTAATACATTGTTTTATTTACTATTCTAATATTACATGAGCTAGTACTCAACCAACAAAACTTAAAAAAATATTTTCTCTACAAAAACATGCATGCAGAGACTAATATATAAGAAAAAAAATATGAATATGCAAAACCACTAATGAAAGACATGCAAATGATGAGTATATATGAAATTAATATTTACCAACACTTAATTTTTATGTACAAATATATTAGCAGCCTGATTCCGAAAACCTTTAATAATAAATTTACGAAAAATGTTAACAATAATTACTGTCTTAGAATAAACCAATCGAATACTTATAAATTGTCTAGAATTAGGAGCAAGTATTCTGAATATAGAATAGCATACCGTGGACCGAAACTATGGAACACATTTCAAAAAACCAAACATTTAAATACGGTAAAATCATTAAACTCCTTTAAGTTTCTAATAAAAAATGAAATTTTTAAAGATTATAAATAATTTTGCAATTTTTTCTAAATAAACATCGAATTCCATTATTTTTAGTTTGAAAAAAAAAATTGTGTCTTTTTTTTTATATTTAAAACAATGTCAGTATTTTAAAAATGTCTATTGTTAAAATTATATTAATACTATTTCCTTTCTTTCTTTAAATGTAAATATTTATGAAAGTTTTTTTTTATTATATTGGAATTGTACAATTGTATTTTTAACAATCTTATTCTATTTTAAACTTGTAAAGCCCACAAAAAAAGGCTCTATGAAAAGATTGCGGTGACTTTAGTCATCCATATCTTCTTTGAGCCCCTGCCTGTTTTTATAAATCAACTTTTTTTGTATGTAAATGTTTCAATGTAATTATGTTTTCTTACTATATAAACAGCAAATATATATAAACTAAAAAAAAAAAAAAAATGTTGGCAAATTAGGATCTTTAGTCAGAATTTTAACTTTTCTATTGATTTGGTTCTATTTGATTGGTTAATATTAGCTATTTGATTGGTTAATATTAGCTATTTGATTGGTTAATTGTAATAAATAAGAAAATCGATGTACGTACTTTTATATTGAACCCTCCCCCGAATCTGGGTTTCTACTGGGATTAAAATGGGGCTTCCGTGAACGGTTTACGGCTGGTTTGAAGGTGGATGAGACGCTAGTAGTTACTACTACCGCCCCATCCATCTTACACTACTAAGTAGTATAATGGTAGCGTTTTCCGATCAAGAACAGTTATTCTGGCTTTTATCGTTTTTTATTGGCTTTTATCGTTATCAGTTTTATCATTTTGATTAAAACTTTTCATATAAATATGATAAAAAGAGAAATTAAAAAAAAAAGATCTATAGATCTTTTTTAATTTATACCATCTTAGAGGTATAGTTTTTAATTTATACCTTCTTAGAGGTTTACTTTAAAAAAGAAGATCTATAGATCTTCTTTTTTAAGCTATACGTCTATGTCTTTTTTTAACATATATGTTTGTTTTAAAATGTATCTATAATAAAAATGTTTAGATAATTTGATAGCAATTTTCAGATATTTGTTTAACAAACAATATTCTTATTCTAAATTAGGTGTACAAATGTTATCTAACTTCTTGTTTATTGTTGTCAATTTTCTATGAAAGCATCATGCTTACCATGTATGTTATTTATGCAATAGAGTAGTATTTAATTTATACATTAACAGTTCAATGGTAAGATGCAAGGCAAAATGTAATAAGTTTTAGTTTTATCTTTATTAGTTACCACTGAACTGCTATTGTATAAATTAAATACTACTCTTTTGTATAATGAGGTTTCAACTTTGCAGTATTTATTTTTTTATCAAATTTTTTAATTTTTATTGTTATTTTTTAACAATTATTATAAATTTTTTGTTTAAGAGATTTACTACTAATTTTTTTTTAATAGTTTAATTTTTGAAACTGCTTTGAGGTGATTAATATGTAACAACAAACTATGGCAATAAATAAATCCCAGTCCTCTATTTCATTCCAGCTATGGTTGTCTAACACGTACACAATTTATATATTGTATTGAGCCAGCTTATGTTTTTTACTTATGTTTTGAGTTGCCTAATACTTGTTTGTTATGTGCAAGATATACACTTCATCGTATGTTCTAATTAATGTTATCGATAAATATATCTAATCTATATTTCTTTGAAAGTATATATGCTATAAATTGCTATACCGTCCAAACCTTTATTTTTATTTTATAAACTTTGTATAAAAATGGATGAAAGTACTAAAGAAGAAAAACGGTGCAAATTAAAGAAAAATATTATCATGCAATCATGGTGGTGTAATAAGAGAACAACTGAGGCAGAATAGAACAATTGTCGAAAAATTTTGAATCAAATCGTTGTATAATAGTTGTTTTTTTTTGTTGCCTCAAAACATTTATGAAATTCAAATCTGCTTTTTAAACTAGTTTATTCAAACTATGCCAAGCCAATTATTCATTTGCTTAATACAACATATTGGAAGTTATAACATATTTTCTTTAGAGCGAATTTAATATAAAGAGTACTTTTTTTGTGTTTATAAAAAAAAATGCGACGCTTGAATGATAAAAGAACATGCGAATTTTCGAGAAACAAATTTTTTTTAATAATTAAGAAAACGCGCGCTATACGGAAAAAATATCTGGATTCAAAATGGGATTTCCCAAAAACCTAGACTAATCCTAGATGGGACCCATTTGGATCCCGCTGACAAAATCGCAATTGGAACCATGTGGTATATTCAGATGGGTCCCAGCTGGTACCCAGTTGGACTGGTTAACTAGGTAATTGAAAATCCAGTTACGCCAACAATACAAGCCTAGCTATTGTATAT